AGATAGATAGATAGATTTATATGAAGGAAATGGCTCACATGGTTGTAGAGGCTGGAAAGTCCCAAGTCCGTGGGTCAGGCTGGAGGCAACTCCTGACTCACATAACTGCGGGGCCTGGCAAAACCAAGATTGTCAGGTTAAACAGCAGGCCTCTGGCTCGCAAGCAGTGAAGGCCGATGAATCCCAAGACTTTCAGGTAAGCTGCTAGCTCAAGTCCCAAGAACCAGATGTCATATGAACAGGAACCACCTGCAGGATCCAGAGCGAACAAAAGCCAGCGAGCTTTGCCAGAAAGTTCACCTATATTGGATGCAGGCCACACCCCCAAGGAAACTCCCTTTCAACTGATTAGCTTCTCTTAACAGTTCTCATCATGGAGGTGATTACATTATATCAGATCTCATTATGGAGGTGATTACATCATTACATAGCTGCCAAACTACATCATAACTTCCAAACCACTGAGAATCATGGCCCAGCCAAGCTGACACACAACCTTAACCAGAAACACTTACCAACCAGGCCGATGCTCAAATGGCAGATATATTTTATCAAACTAACACCTTCCAATGGTTACAAATTTGTTTTACTTATGATTTGCAGGTATTCACATTGGGTTGAGGTTTTTCCTTGCCTCAAAGCCATGGGAGCTTTTGTGGCTAAAAAGCTGTTAGAAAATATTCCTATTTGGGGAACTCCTGCCGTCCTCTGCCACGAGGAACCTACTTTATGGGTCAAGTAATCACTGCTATTTGTAAAATCTTCCTCGTTTTTTAGAGACTCTGTTGTCCTTATCACCCCCAGTCTTTGGGGCTTGTGGAAGACTCTCTTGGCCAAACTCACATCATCTATGGGATTGACTTGACCACAAGCTCTGTTAATATTGATGAATTTAAGAGCTACTCCTTTTGGCCCTCATAAGTTAACTACTTATGAGTTCATAACAGGCTGGTCCATTAATTTACCATATTCAGCAGTCACTGATGATTCAAATCTAATACAAGGAAATTTATAAAAGCACTGTCAATCCTTGATCCACTATGCTAAAGAGCACGCTAAATTTCTTAAGGAAGTTTTGACAGTAAAGGCCCCTAAGGGTCTACAACCCCACCTCTCTTGCCTAGTGATTGTTTACTGGAAGAGATATCAGCTAAAGGATTCCCTTGAACCTCGATGGAAGAGACTTTATTTGATCTTACTAATCCATGTGCAGCAAAACTGCAGGGAGGGGGTCAAAGCTGGGATCAATCTACCCAAGTTGAAAAAGGTTCTGGTTCCTGAATGGACTGTGAAACCCATTGAAGGAATCAAATTTAAATTCAAACGGTCCAAGGACAAGAAGAAACTGACACCTGGGTCACCAGTTTCATCCCTAAGATCTCTGGACCTGACTTAAACTGCCTACGCAACCTGCAGTAAAATTTGGACTCTGTTCTGGTCTTAGTTTCCTAGAGCTGCTGTAACACCAGTACCACAAGATGGTGTCTTCAAAGAACAGAAATTTATTTTCTCATAGTTCTGGAGGCTGAAAGTCTAAATCATAGTCTTGGTCATGTCAATTCCTTCCTTGTAGGTAGTCCCAGGTGTTCCTTGGTTCCTTGTCTTGCAGAAGAACCTCACAATGTTATCTGTCTTTCCAAGTATGGGTATCTCTGTGTCTAATCTGCTCTTTTTATAGCTCAGAAGTGATTAGATTTAGAACCCACTCTACTAGAATATAAGTAATACAACAAAGAAAACCACTTTTCCAAACAGGATTATATCCACAGATATGTTGTTGTTGTTAGGTGCTGTCGAGTTGGTTCTGACTCATAATGACCCTATGTACACACAATGAAACACTGCCCAGTTCTGAGCCATCCTCAAAATCATTGCTATGTTTGAGCCCATTGTTGCAGCCAGTGTCAAGCCATCTCATTGAAGGTCTCCTCTTTTTCACTGACCTTCTACTTTACCAAGATGGTGTCCTTCTCCAGACTGGTCCCTCCTGATAACATGTCCAAAGTATGTGAGACAAAGTCTAGCCATCCTTGCTTCTAAGGAGTAATCTCACTGTACTTCTTCCAAGACAGGTTTGTTCATTCTTCTGGCAGTCCACGGTATAGTCAATATTCTTTGCCAACACCATAATTCAAAGGCACCAATTCTTCCTTGGTTTTCCTTATTCACTGTCCAGCTTTTGCATGATATGAGGCAATTGAAAATACCATGGCTTGGATCAGGCACACCTTACTCCTCAAAGTGACATCTTTGCTTTTTAACACTTTAAAGAGGTATTTTGCAGCAGATTTGCCCAGTGAAATGCATCATTTGATTTCTTAACTGCTGCTTCCGTGGGCATTGATTGTGGATCCAAGTAAAATGAAATCTTTGACAACTTCAATCTTTTCTCCACTTATCATGATGGTGCTTTTTGGTCCAACTGTGAGGATTTTTGTTTTCTTTATGTTGAGGTGTAATCCATACTGAAGGCTTCGTCTTTGATCTTCATCAGTAAGGGCTTCAAGTCTTCTTCACTTTCAGCAAGCAAGGCTGTGCCATCTGCATATTGCAGGTTGTTAATGAGTCTTCCTCCAATCCTGATGCCGCGTTCTTCATATAGGCCAGCTTCTCATATTACTTGCTCAGCATACAGTTTGAGTAAGTATGGTGAATGGATACAACCCTGACACACACCTTTCCTGGAGACACTGGTGTCCCGGCTCTTGAGGACAAAGGGGCTGACAGTTGGGACACACGCAGCAGTTAGCGCAGAGATGTTCACCAGCCACCAACTGGGATGATTAGAAACAGCCATAAAAATGCTCAAGACGGAGTAGAAGGTATAAAAAGATACAAAAGTTCTCACCAGGACAAGGGTGGTTTGGGTGGCTCTGGTCTCAGGGGAGGATCTGGGACATTCCAGTGCACAATGGAACTAAATGCTGCCCAATCCTGCACCATCTCCATGATCAGTGGACTGTTGTGATCCATAGGGTTTTCACTGGCTGATTTTCATAAGTAGATCACCAAGCCTTTCTTCGTAGTCCATCTTAGTCTGGAAGCTCCATTGAAACCTGCTCAGCATTATAGCAACATGCAAGCCTCCACTGACAGGCAGGTGGTGGCTGTCCATGAGGTACATTGGCCAGGAACCCAACCCCAAGTGGAAGATGAGAATTCCACCACTGAACTACCATTAAACCAAACCTGCTGCTGTCAAGTTGATTCTGACTTACAGCAACCCCATGGGATAGAGTAGAACTGCCCCATAGGGTTTCCTAGGCTGTAATCTTTATGGAAGGAGATCACCAGGTCTTTCTCTTGCTGGAAGGTTTAAAGCACAGACTTTTCGGTTGCCAGTCGACCACTTTAACCACTGTGCCACCAGGGCTCCTGAACCAACATTGCCTTACTTTTCAAACAGTTCTTTCCAGCAGGAATATTAGCCCTGTCTTAGAAGGGCGACACTGAGGCTTAGCAGTTTGCCCAAGGTACCTGTGGTTCTTTCAGATGGCTGGCATCTCAACCTCCTTCCTGTCTGGAAACTTTCCACTTTACCGGTCTTGGAAGGTGGAGCCAGCCTCCCATTATTATTGTTGCCCACAAGTCAACTCCAATTCAGGGCAACCTCATGTGTGTCAGAGTAGAACTGCTTCATAGGTTTTCAATGGCTGATTTTTCAGAAGCACACTGCCTGGCCTTTTTTCTGAGGCATCTCTCCCTGGGTGGACTTGAACTTCCAACCTTTCAGTGAGCAGCCCAGCTCATTAACTGTTCACACCATGTGGGGATCCTCCCACTATTGTTTTTCAGAGCTGTGGAGCCTGATTTCAACTCAGCGACCCCATGTGACAGAGAAGAACGACACCATAGGGTTTCCTGGGCTGTAATCTACGGGAGCAGACTGGGTGGGTTCGAACTACAAACCTGTTGGTTAGCAGCCAAATGTAGTTGTTTGCAGCTAGGGAGTGGGCCTGAAACCTGGGTCTAACAATCAAACACCAGTGCTGATTTGGGAGTGTCTCAGTCGTCTAGTGCTGCTCCAATAGAAATACCACAAGTGGATGGTTTTAACAAAGAGAAATTTATTCTCTCACAGTCCAGTAGGCTACAAGTCCAAATTCAAGGCATCAGCTCCAGGGGAACACTTTCTCTGTTGGCTCTGGAGGAAAGCCCATGTCATCAGTCTTCCTTTGGTCTGGGAGCTTCTCTGCGCAGGAA